AGCGCTATGGCCATTCTCTTATCTAACTGATAAAATAATTTTTAAAGGACCAACAGTTGCAATGCTACCTCGCTTGGGGACTGGTCACCTCTTCATACATATGGTCCTGGTCTTTCTATGAAAAATTCGTGGGAGGAATGTGGACTATTGAGTTGAAGAACTTTCAAACTAAATTGTGGAAATTAGTTGCTAGTATGGATTCGATAAATGTCCCCAGTGTCCCAAAAGATAAAATGTAAGGGAGACAATGTCACAAGTGACAGAGTCATTTCATGTGTACCTGAACCTTATGTCTTATTGATTGGTAATAAGGTAATCACTGGTGATTACCCAAAATTTAAGTAAGTTGTTCCCGTAAAATTTCTAACTATATTAGCTCTGTTACCAAAGATGATTCAGAATCCTCCTCTTGTTATGAGATTGGTAAAGTTAAATGATATTTGGTATGATAATAATGCTTGCAAATTTTGAAAGTTATATAAGTTATCATTAAGAACCAAGAGAGCTGTAGGACTTGTTATTGTAGGAATTGTTTCTCTTATCCCTATGATTGCTGCCGTCTCTACTTCTGCTGTAGCTTCAACACATGAAGTCCACACGGCTAAGTTTTTAATTGGGTTAGTGCATATTGTGACAAAATTTAAAGCAAAAGAATGTATAATCAATCAATTATGGCCCAAAAGTTATGGGGACATGGTCTAAGGCCAGTCACTCCTTTTTGGGGCCCTTAATAGGCTTTCTTTTACTTATTTCTTTTGGCCCCTGGGCAATTCAGAGGCTTATATGCTTTATCAAGCAGCAGGTCAAATCCATAGCCTCCCGTCCCATACAAGTCCATTATCAAAGACTGCAAATGGCCAATAAGGAAAATCCTTGATGGTACAGGCTAATAAACCGAGCAACCAGAGATGGGTAAGAGACACCGGCCCCTGTTTCAACCTCAGACCGGCACCCCACCGTAGCAGCTGGGTTAGCCCATGAAGGGTAAGATCAGTAGGTGCAGTGTCCAACCTAAGGCAGGCTCCGGTTTCATACCTGGTCAAACAGGAGAGCACCAAAGGTAATCCTGTTGCACTTGTGCTATCTTCAAATAATTATTGAAAGCAGGGAGGATCTGCTGGGAGCCACTTGTTCTACCTAGCTGAAGCCATTCTGTAATTCTCAAAGAACATGTTTGGACATGTTGCCCCTCCCTGGGAGGATAGGTTTAGGTCTACCCCACCCTGGGAGGATAGGTTTTGGTTTACTGGGAACGCCCTGCTAAGTTTGTTTACCAGATAACTTTCAGCTTACTGGAAACGACATGTTATTCTCCCCCACTGCGTACTTCTCCTCCCCCATTATGCTTCTGTATATAAGCTGTGAGTGCTTTCAATAAAATCGAGACTTGATGGGAAATTCGACTTGTCTCCATGCTTCTGCCTCCTGTCCCCCCCATTCTCGTTCTTCCCCTCCTAGGGTCACCGTTGAAGATCCCCGCAGGCCGGGGCAAGCTAATACCGTGTTTGGCAATCATGGGTAACTCACTATGAGTACTGGACATATTGTCCACATGTATTTTGCAGTTACCATAGAAAGTAGGCCATCAAGCTAAACACTTACACTCTTACACTATCACCAGTGCAGAGACACAAAAGTCAACCTGACACTAGCAAACGGTAGCTGGAGAGTCAATTTTAAAACCTTTACGTATAATAGATGATTTAATAACATGAAAAATAACGATCAATTACAAATCTAAAAACATGTTTCTCAATCATATTTTATGCAATTTTTCTTGAAGACTTAATGGCTTTTTAGGAAAAATTCTAATTTTGAATACAAAAAAACAGGACATGATGACAACAGAATCCCACACTGAAAAATCAAATGTATTCCATATCTTTCTTAATCCACATGGAGAACAGATCATATGGGAGGCTGGGATCTATGAGGAGGAATGTGGCATCAGGATTGGAGGAAGACTCACCAACACCCTATGTTACGCAGACGGCACAATCTTGCTTACTGAAACTGAGGACATAAAGCACTTGCTGCAAAACGTCAAAGGCGGCAGCCTTTAATATGGATTGACGCTCAACATCAAGAAAAAGATTCTCACCAGCATCAAGAAAAACAGAGAAGAGTTGGAAATTGTTGACAGCTTCAATTTCATTGTCAGTTCTGACTCTAGGGTACACGACAAATAGAAGCCTTTGTCATCTAGTCCAAAAAATAGGTGACCTTCCAGTGGGTGAGCTTTTTGGCCGGAGGGGCATAGACAACTAGATTTCAAGAACCTACATTGCTTCCTGTCCTCGGGTCAAGTAGTCTCATCAGGACCCTATGAGTGACAGCTCTGAACCCTTCTCTATCCTGAGCCAATCTCAGTGTCTCTGACAAACCTACCTCCATCAACCCGACTCTTGAGTTAATCCATCTCATCGAGGGGTGGTTGGGGGGTGGGGGGTGTGTTCCTCTCCACTGCTGTCCCTCCACACTTCCAAGTATAATATCCTTCTTGAAAGACTTGTCCAGGCTACATGCACAAAGGATGTGAGAAGTGCCTCAAAATCCTTGCCTCAAAGGAGCAGCTGTTTCACTAACTGCTGGACAGACCTGTTAAGAGTCTTGCGGGTCCAGTTATGTTCAGTACTCTTCTAAAGAAACACAGCTCAAAGGCTTGCATGATTCTTCTGCCATCCTTGGTCACTGTCCAGCTCTCAGATGCACAGCAGGGAAATAAGCAAAGCACACTTATGTACACAATACCTTGGCCTGTGCACAGAGAGGGACACAAGATCAACCCAGGCACTCAGTGTCCTAAAGTGAATGCATCTATGCCCAGTAGTCCCCAGGGAAGCCCAGCAGGCAAGTCTAGTTAGAAGTCACAGGTTCAAGGCAAGATCTTATAAGCAGCACACCTGCTCTCAACAAGAGACTGTGTGTCACCTACTAGTTACTCCATTCAAATGAAGCAGAAATTCATCAAATCCATGTGGATGGGATTTGCTGCCAGAGCCAGGAGTTGAGGACACAGGAGTGAAGTCATGAGCCCCCTGGCATACGTGGAGGACTAAGGCCAGTGTTGGATTGAATTCCTCATCTTCTGACAGCCCCTGAAATTTTCTTCTTGGTTCTCTGACAAGTTAAATACTTTTCTAAGTTAATTAGCGATTTTCTTGGAGGGAGCACTGCTCGTGATGGGCTAGCTACAGCACAGGCTACCCTCTTAATCAGCAGTGAACAAACGACATCTTTCTTGTCCATCTCCTAAACGGATGATTTTGTGAATAGTGTGGTTTTGGAGCATGGCTAGGCCACTGACGGAGGCTGAACACACTGTCTACACCGGGTCTGCTCTGAAACTGTAAATATATAAAGCCAAGCAGAACACAAGCACACCCACCCTGTATGGAAGAGTAAAATAGTCCACTATGTCATGGGGGATAATAAAATAACAACCATTCATGAAACAAAACATTTTGTACAACTGAGATCTTTATTAATTGCATGGAAAATATCAGTCCCTAACCAAAAATTTATAAATAGTATTTTCCCATTTCTATTTTCTGCATCTTTCTGGGTAACAGGCAAAGACATAATTCCTTTAACAAAGTAAAAGTTTACCTTGCAAAAAAGAAAACAATAAAAATTGAGTGCAAAAGCCCACACTGGCAGATACAATGATCAATTTGTTACAATGGTGCAAAAACAGACCCAGCATTCACCATCACTGAAGGATTCCCACACGCATGTAAAGAAAAAAAAATATAATCGTAAAAGCTCTGCAAGTATCTCACTTTGCAAGACAGAACAACAGTTCTGCTACATGATCAGGAAGACTAATTCCTTCCTAACCGTCTTCCTCACCTGTCTATCTAGTCTAAGGTCTCAGGTGTCCAGTGAGGTTGGAGGATTCTGCAGGGTGAGTATAAATATGTCCAGGCAGGACAGCGGATCATCTACTTCCTATGTTGCTCATAATGGTTTTGTGCTGTGTGAATGCTTGCATGTCCTGATGCCATCTGATTGTGGAAAGGTGGCCCCACATTCCTTATAATCAGATGGTCTATCTGGGGAAAGTCTTCAGGGATAATTTGTGTACCAGGGTCACAAAAGGATTCCCTCCATTCCTAAGTTCTGTCTCTTGTGTGAATTTTTATATGTACTGAAGTGACTCAACTGTGAAAAGGTATTCCCACATTTGTGACAGTCCTAAGATCTCTCTCCAGGGTGAATTCTTCCATGAGGGGCACTGATTGTCAAACTCCTTTCCCACATTCCTCACATTCAATAGGTCTCTCCCCTGTGGGAATTTGTTTATGGACAGTTAGGCTGAAGGTGCCACACTTAT